GCCACTATATCCAAAGTAGAAAGTTACAATGTGAGGAAGGGTTGGATTGAAGGAATCAGACGAAAAAATCAGAAAGTACCGAGCGACTTACTATGATTCAATTCGACTGACACTCAAACAGACTACTATAATAGAGACCTGATCGAGACGAGATCTCGAACGAAAATATTGGTTATCGGAATAAGGATTCTTTAGCCTTCTCCCAGTCTGTGCCTAACTATGATAAGTAGAATTATAATTGACATTATACTAGTAAGGTTCTTTTTCAAAATTTTTCAATTCATTTTGCATACATAGTATATTTATTTACTAATTTTACCAATTTTTATTTTAGCCCAAATAGCAACAATTAGATAATTAATAATAACTAAACAAATAATAAATCCAGTAAGTATATTTATTTCATTATTTAATCCGACTATAGCAGCTGCAACATCACTAAGTGTAATACTAACATTTATAGCAGTTGTATTTGATAAATTTAATAAAGTATTGAGTGAAATAAAATTCGAAAAGATGGAAATAGATATAAGAAATAAAATGTGAATTAAAATATATTTTTTGTAGTTAACTTTATTATAACTTAAAAATTAAAATTTTTACGGATTTTTAAAAATGATTTTTAGAGTTGAGTCCATCTTCCCCCAGGGTGGCCTTTTTACCCTATTTATAGAGGATTTTCCCTATTTTTGATCTTTTCGCCCTATTTCTTCCCTATTTTATACATTTGCCATATTTTGTCCTATTTTTAACACTAGCGGAGGGGGTCGCCCTTCGGGCGAGCCCCTTCCGCTAGCCAAATTCTAAACATTACATAAACTTAAATTAAAACACCTCATACCTAAAACCCCAATCTTCAACTATTAACTCTAATTCAACTATTAACTAAAACTTTCAACTTCCAACTATTAATATCTGTCTACTATTAACTATCAATTCTAACTATTAACAATGATTCAACTATTAACTAAGACTTTCAATTTTCAACTATTAATATCTATTTCAACTATTAACTATTAACCAACTTTCAAATATTAATTTACAACTATTAACTATTAACCAACCTTCAAATATTAATTTTTAACTATCAACTATTAACAACCCTTGTGAATTAACCGTTGTCAGACTTAGAACTCAGTCACCACCACTTTTTTCTCACCCATTGTGTAACCGTTTTCTCATGCCTATTGGACGACTATTTTTTCTTTCCTATTGACGGACCTTTTATCTTGTTTATTGGCGAACCCTTTTCTCAAGCTATTTGACGGACACTTTTCTCTTGCTTGTTGCTCGAAATCTTTTCTTCCCACTTTTGTCAGACCCTTTTTACCCGTTTTCGAGTCCATTTTCGCTTACCATTATTCCAATATGCAGAATAAAGCATTTTATTTGAGAATTAAACTATTTTTAATTGTTTAAAATGATGCCCCTTTATTTTGCCCTATTTTTGACATATTTTTCCCTATTTATTCCCTATTTTTGAGGGGCTGTTTCCTATTTTGGTGTTTTGGAAAAGGCCACCCCACTTAAAAAAAGTCTTCCCCACTTAAATCGAAAAAAATCCTGACAGTTATTGCTAGGAGCTTTCGCTCACCACGTACAGGAGCTTTACCACTAACAAATGAGCTACCGGTCATCGACTAATGCTTTCTCTTTTATCCTTTTAGATCGTTTATCCCCCGCCTAAGCGTTTTAAATTCTCTAGGTGATAAGGTTGGCAGATATTTGGAAATCTATTCGAACCGAAAATTTCGGATATCCAGCCTTTCTTCGGATCAGGATCTGCCAACCTTTCTAGGTGAATCATCCTTACAATTTCCATAATTTAAACAAACAATTTTTGAATATAACTTACAAGATTGGCAAGAAAATAGCCATAAGTCTGTCCAAACTAATTGATACAAGTAAAAAGAAGGATAAAGAAGAAAAAATTAAAGGAATATATAGCCACTTTAATATATCCAAAATATTTAAAAAATATATTCCATTTAATGAAAATAAAAGGGAAATGAAATTTCCAAATTGGTGAAAACATTCACAAAAAGATTTAAGAAAAAGAAATAAGCTTGTTTTACTTTTTATTGTTGAATATTTTTTTCTTTAAATTAAAAAAAAATTATTTTTAATTTAAATATTTACCTATATTTTAAAGTAATATAGCAAATACTTAAATTTAAAGGAATTCCGATAATTGAGACAATTGAATACAAAATTGTTTGAATCAAAATTTCAAAACAGAAATTGGAACAACTCGAAGAGAAAGCTAAACAGGCTATCTAAATAAATATTTAATTATTAATTTAATTAGAAAAACATACAGAATTAATTGTTTTGTTCATTTATTTTTATGTGCTGTTTAATAATAATTAATTTATTTATTACCTAAAATATACACTTAGTAAATACCTAAATCCTCAAAAATAAGCCCCCTCTAGAGGTCGATCGATAAAAATAAGCCCCGGGGCTTATTTTAGAGGATTTACGGTAATAGATATGTAGCTCATCATCTTTGATTTTCGTTTGAATTTTTGGTATTAATTTAATCTGCTCATCGGCATTTTAATCATTAGATCTAATTCCATAAAATTTCAAACGAATAGGACACATTTTCATGAGATATGTCGAAAAAGCATGATGTTTGTTACGCCGTGTAGCTATAGCCAGATTTAAGTATCATTTTAGAATGTACATATTATTCTAATAATTTTTCCCAAAATTTTATATATACTACCGTACCCGCAACTAACTATTTCTGTATTACTCTAGTAATGTATTATTTTACGAAAAAATTTTATCAAAGAAATTGAAAACTTTTAATATGTATGTATTTAACTGTTAACATTTTTAATAAATACGCAATATAATGTAAAATATTTTAATATTTACCCTTAATATTTTTAACGTTGCTATGTAATTAACTATTTACAAATCTAATTTCTGTTTATTTAAACTTTTATAAAAAAATACCGTATTAACATATTTAAAAATTATTTAACAAAAATAAAATTTTATACAATTTAAGTGAAACACACCAAATACCTTTAAAGACAAATTAAAGTCTGTTTTTAGTGTTTAAATCATTTTTGACTCTTTAAGGGCCACTTCCGTATTGCACAAATCATTTTTATTACAACTTAAACAATCTTTGTATTCTGAAGGGCACAAGCCACAATTTTGCTCCACTTAAATTTTAAAAATAAAATTACAGAGAAATTTCAAATGCTTTCTATATGCCCTTAGGCAGATTTTATAATGTTATCGTTTACAGTAAATGCCCAAGTTATTATAACTGGAGTAGAAATTCTTTTTTTACACATGGGGAGTGGGTGGGGGGGGGCAATGTTGAATTAAAATCCCAAACTGTTTGAGGATAATAAGAAAAAATTCAAATTATTACCTCTCCCAAATTTATCCTTAGCAATATAGCAATGAGAATACATAGGGTGACATTTTTTCACTTTTTTCTTATAAAGCTTAGTTTTAGCAATGTTGTAGTGACATTTTATAGTTGGAAGTATATTCTTGACATTGCAATATGGGTTATTACAAGTCGCGCATTTTTCCAAGTGAGAAGGGCAGCTACCACAGCCTTGCACAAAGCCTGAAAATAAATATGACAAAATGTCTAATAATTCAAATATAAAGATATTTACTCATTTCAATTTGGTCAACTCCAATAAAACACGATTCTTTACAAACCCTCCTCCCTTTGGTTGAAGTCCACTTTTTAACATCTTTCTCCCAACAAAACAATTGTTTCTCAAAATATGTATCAGCGTTACAAGCTGGAATGTTGCTACATTCTGCACATTGCATTTTGGACATATCAAGATTTTTAAATTTATTCAGAAGCTTTGTATCTTTAGTTTTGATGTATGGTGACAAATCGAGGATATCAGAAGGACATTTTCCACAATCATAGTGATACTGTTGAATTTTCTGGTCTTAAATTTATAAGCTAGAAAAATAAGTAAGGAAGTGTCTAGTAGAAACATGGAATATTTCCGATCTCTGATATGTGGAATATACAACATAAAAATAATTTTTGAAACCATAGACTACAAAGCTAGCCTTAAATTATAGAATAAAACACCTCCAATTTTCTCCTCAATTTTAGCAATATAACAATCAGATTCACTACATTCTTTATAACTAGCCATAAATCCAAAGCAATAAAATGGCAATTCTGCATCCTCATTGCAACGATGAGTATTACATTCTTTACAAGTGAAAAAAGGACAAATTCCACATCCTTTTTTGACTTTAAAATTTAAAAAAGGATTTTTATTTAATTATTTATTCAAAATTTATTCAAAACCCCCATTTGTTGGAGTTCTCCATAAATAGCAAGGAGCATCAAAAGGTGTTTTACATATCCCCCCATCATTATCGGCCAAACAATGTTTGTCTACTTTACTTTCCTCGTTGCAGTAAACTTCTTTGCATTCTTGGCATTCTGTGGTGTCATTTGTTGGACAAGATCCACATCCTTGTGTTACTGTAAAAATATGAATTAAAGATCGTTTGGGGTGGGTTTTGTGTATCACATGAGTTTTTTATACGTAAAGCACTAGCCGGGATTTTGGCTCAGATGATGGTCGGTATTAAACTAGAATGTTTGGATAAATGGTTTTATATTTCATTTTTTGTATACAATGTAAACTTCAAACAAAGGTCATTTAAAATTCAGAAAAACTTTTGGTGATTTGGATTCAAAAAGAAGAATGAGAGGTTTATTGGTTCGGATTCAGATATCCTATGCTTTCCTATAATTGATAGCCATACCATGAGCTATTTCTCTTACTATTTAACTTTAGCAAAGAAAGAGTTTGCAAAAGTTTAGCCACCGGGCAGGATTCGAACCTACGACCACCTGCTAGTTGTTGCTAGGCGCTTTCGCTCACCATATGAAGGAGCTCTACCTCTGAGCTACCTGTGCATCGACTAATGCTTTCTCTTTCTCCTTCTTAGATCGTTTAACCCCCGCCTAAGCGTTTTAAATGCTGCTGGGTGAATATCCTTACAGCAACAATGTTAAACAACTACCATATCCTGTTAAATTATCTCTTGATACAAAACATTGCTCTTCGCATACACTCGCCCCCTTGACAAACATCGAGTCGTTAGATAACTTTTCCAAACAAAACAATTTCTCCTCTATAAACTTTTCTGTGTTGCATAATATCCCATTATTGCAGTCTGCACATTGGAGGTCATTATTATAATTTTCTTTTAATCTTTCCCCGAGTAGTTCGTCTAATGTGCCAATTAACGATGACCGTGTTTTCGGACATTTTCCACAATTTTGATAATATTCATTTTTATTATCTGAAGAATGATAAATTTATTTTAGTATTTTCAGTAGTAAAGATATTAATTTAATTAACACACATTGCTATTTTTAATACCCTTCCATTTCCACCCATTTATTACCTTTTTTATTCCTCAACCTCAAAATGTGGCAGTCAGGATCACTACATTCACTAACACCATTTACTCCATGATTACTATAACAATAGTAAGGAGTATCCTCCCAATCATTACAAAGATGAGTTAAGCATTTTCTGCATGCTTTAGTTTCACAGTTTCCACAGCCTTTCTTTGCTTTAATTTCTCAGAATTATTTTTAAATTGAGAAGATTATTTTACTTTCGTTTATCGAAATTCTTTCCATATGACAGGGAATATCAAAATCTGTTTTACAAATTTCTTTTTCATTTATCCAGCAATGTTTGGGAACAAGTCGCTCCTCGTTGCAATACTTTTCTGTGCAAGCTTTACAGTCAAGTTTAGGGTCTTCACATTCACCACAGCCAAAATATACTGTAAAAGAATTTAATGATTTAATTAATTCATTTAAACAGGATAACGAAAGAGCGGAAATGACCTATTCAAAAGATAGAAGTTTCCAAGAAATCACATTCACCAATCCAAATCAGTATTTCTGGAACAGCTTACTGGTTATTAACTGGTCGACTTTTAGGTCAGAAGACTTTTTCGTGGATATGAGAGGGGAGTGAGATAGGAGAAGGACTGGCTCGCGAAATCTTCCTTTGAGTGGCAACATTCCATCTCCTTTAAGGCTCTCCTTAATGCTCTCCTCGTGATAATTTATTAAAAATATTTTTATTCTTACATTTCCCATTAATTTCTCGAGATACAAAGCATTTACTCTTGCAAACTCTCGCTCCTTTTCCCATTCCCATTTTGTCAGTATTTGAATTCTCCCAACAAAATAATTGTTCTTCAAAGAATTTTGGTGTATTACAAAACGGACTGTTTTTGCATTCTGCACATTGAATACCGTTGAAGGAAAGGTCAGAGGAAGATTGAGGGCATTTTCCACAATCATACACGAAGGAACTTTGGTTGTTATCTGACAACAGAAAATTGAGCTTTTTAAATTTTAGCTTGTTAATTTATTAGGCTTCTCTTGGATGAATCTTTGACGAATATAACAGAGAAATTTACGAAAATTCCCGATATTCAAAGATTTCGGCAATCGGATTTTCGAGAAATTTTCTGTTTCAGATTGTGTGATTCAGGACCGGAAAAACGCCTAGTATCTAATTAATTAGCCTGATCTAACTAATCACTAACTCTATCATCTACCTTTTGAAATAAAGCAATCAGGTTCAGGGCATTCCTTGTCTCCATCAACACCTTTACAAAAATAAGGAAATTCTTTCTCAGAATTACAGCGATTATCATTGCATTGTTTACATGTTGAAGAACTTAAACATTTCCCACAGCCTTTGTTAACTTGAAAAAAATTTTTTGGAAAAATTTCTAAAAAGAGTTTAAAGACTTTGATTTGTCAAAGTTCTCTCAGTAAAGCAAGGGGTATCATATTCAGTTTTGCATATTTCCTTATAATTTATCCAGCACTGTTTGTGAACGAGTCGTTCCTCATTACAATACCTTTCAATGCAATTTACACAGTCTGCACTTTTAGAATTTGATGGACAAATCCCACAGCCTTGAGCTACTGAAAATTTATGATATATAAAGTTATTATTTAGATACTAGAGACGTAGAGAGGCAAGTTTAGGACAAAATTTCAGTTATAAGGATTTTGATATTTGTGAATATTCTGTAAATATCGGGGTTGTGGTTGAATGTTGTATCGTGGTTCGGGGATGAAACACAAAGTCAGATTCTTTTTGAAACTATTTAGTTTCAAACCTTTCCCATTTTCATCTCTCGCTACAAAACAGTGACTTTCACAACTTCTCAAATCACTAATTGGTATAGTCATTTCCACAGTCTTATTCCAACAAAACAAAGCATTATTGTAAAATTCTACAGTATTGCAAAATGGACTATTGTTGCATTGTGCACATTTATGTGAATGGTTTTGGATATCTGGGCAATTTCCACAATTCCATTCATAATTACCTATATTATTAATTGGTAAATCAACGTTTATAAGAGTCTATTGAAGAGAAGTGATGCTCTCGTTCAAAAAATAGAGTGATCTAAGCTCATAAAGGCCCGATATTTTAACAATTCCTGGAATATTGGACGGCAGACTGTTACAAATTTATCATGGATTATTATTATTATATCTCATTTGTAACTTAAATCCGCTCGAGGTGGGTGTTGTTATATTAAATTTGTGATGGAATTTACATCTCGAAATGAACCCAAAAAGTCCACCCAATAATGGGTATATTTAGCGTATGTCATTTTGGATTTTAAGCGTATACCTTTATCCATTTCCTCTAAATTAGCAATATAACAGCTCGAATTCTTGCAAATATTATCAGAACCAATCTTCCTTCTACAAAAGTAGTCATAATCTTTTTCATTATTGCAGCGATGTGTGTAGCATTTGTTGCACGTCGAAGAAGCACAATGGCCACAACCCTTTTTTACTTTAAATAATTTAATTTATTAAAGTAAAATAATTAATTAAAGACTTTTATTATCTTCTGTTCTCTCAGTAAAACAATTGCTAGTAGATGGAGTTTTACATATCTCTTTATCGTTTAACCAGCAATGCATATCAACATGTTTTTCTTCGTTACAATATTTTTCGTTACAGTTAAAACAATCGGTTGTACTGACATTGTTTGGGCATGCCCCACAACCTTGTTCTACTAAAATATTTTTTTGAAGAATTAAGTAAATCATTATGGCATAAGTTAAATCATAAAGTCAAGATACAGTGGGTTCAGTATCAATTTCAGTATCAATATGTGAGAGGTTTTAGTGAATTCAAGCTGTCTTAGTGTCTTACAGTTAGTGGAATACATTAAAGGAGAATTGACCCCCGAGTCTAACATTAAAAGCAAATCGAGTGTAAGAAGGGATAATATTCTTTAAAATTAAAAACAAACATTTTCCATCAAAATGTCTATGAACAAAACATTTCTGGTTGCATTGTTTAATACCCTTTTTTAATTCAATCTCTTCTTTTCCTTTGTTTAAACAAAACAAAGATTTGTCAAATAAATCTTTTGAGTTGCAAAGAGGCCTGTTACATTTAGCATAGGGTGTATCATTAAATTCTTTTGGTAGATCCCCACATCCTTGATTGACTAAATATTAGGATTATGTATAAAGAGTTTTTTAATATATATGTTAGATATCGACTTCCGATGTGCCCGATACTAACAGAATAGATTAGGTGTGATGGAAGTAATCTTCCATTACGACATTTGTGCCAAATCATTTATTTACCTTTATTATCGAAGTCTGAAGCATAATAGCAATTTGAACTATATTTACTCATATCACAATGTTCAACAAAATTTTCTTTCCCCCAGCAATAATTAACTTGTTTGAAAAACTTTTCTGTATTGCAAAGGGTTGTGTTACATATTCGGCATGGAATGCTAGTTGAATTACATTTCCCACAGCCTTGTTTAGAGTATTTTTTCGGAGATATTTCTTCAGTTTCTCCTGAAAAGTCAGAATATTTCAAACAAGTTCTTACTTAGGGTGAGGGATGTTAATTACCATTTAGAAGGTCTCCGGAAATAAAGCATGTTTTTTCAACGCATGGTCTGAAGCCTTCCCTCTCTTTGCCATTTTCTTCTTTTTCATAGCAAAATACATTTTCTTCTAGTTTATTTCTAGAATTACATTTGAAGTTGCTACAATCAACACAAGATATGTTAATTTTGTTTTCATCACAAGTCCCACAACCAGCATTTAACTCTAAAATCAAATTATCGTTATTCAAACTATTCCCAGGCTATTACTTTTATCAATATAACAGTTAGGAGATGGACATTCCAACAAGCTCGTTCCATCAGAATTTAAACAATAGTAGGGGAAATTTTTTACATCATTACAACGATGTTCAGTACATGTTTTGCATGTTGAGGAAGTACAGTTCCCACAACCCTTATTTACTTAAAAACAAAAAATTTCGATATTTATTTTATGTTTTACATTCATTTGACTCAGTTCTCTCTGTAAAACAATTTTCATAATATCCTGTCGAACAAGTCGAGCCGTTATTGGTCCAACAATGTTTAACCCCAATTTCTTTAGTATTGCAAAAATTTATTTTGCAACTTTTGCAATCGACAGCAGTACAATTCACACAACCTTGCTCCACTATAATAAATGGACTATTTTTTGATTAAACATGAAAAAACAAACATTTTCCATCCAAATATCGTCTAGTAAAACATTCATTATCACATTGGATAACTGAACTTTTTGTTTCCTTCAAATCATGCTTTCCTTTATTTAAACAAAATAGGCTTTCATCAAATAATCTTTTATTATTGCAGAGATGTACATTTTGGCACTTTGCTGCCCGTACATTAGTTTCATTCCATGTTTTATTACCACATCCTTGTTCAACTAAAACATAGTTTAGTCTTACTTTTATAAGGATACATTGTCTTTCGCAACTCTATTTAATGGAGGATTTCCCCTCAATACAATATTGAGAGTTTATTTGATTATGAAACAAAATTGATGTGCGCGTTAAAGTATACTTGACCAGTGGACTATGGTGCATGGGACTAGATTTCTATACCTATATTATCATTGATGACAGCATAATAACAAATCCTTTTGTGTTCTGAAACACTGCATTGTTCAGTCGAGTTTTCCGAAATCCAGCAAAAATGTCTCTCCTTAAAAAACTGTTGAGAGTTACACTTTTTGCTGTTGCAAGTTCTGCACGTGATAGAATTATCAGGGCAATTTCCACATCCTTGTTTAGTAAATTCTTTGAAGGCCAATTCCTCGGATTTTCCTG